CCCCAAAACCCCAAAACCCCAAAACCCCATTATCCATTATATATCATTTTCAAACATTGGTTAGCAAAATAAAGCATTAATTACTGATTGTTATTTATATACTTTCGACCCGAGAGTGATGATAAGAATTATTTTGTGCTTCAAAACCAGCAGAATTTATCGGTCTTCTTTTTAACTCTCATGTCTAGAAGCTCTTCCTTACTCTTGTCTCCTTTGATTTTTTCCTTGACAGTCTTATATGCATCTCCAACTTTAACTCTGAATTCCATAATTGATTCCTTCTCTGAATTCTTCTAGTCTAGACCACCAACAAACCCTGCATTTTCCTTAGCTAATCTTTCAGCTATGACATCTTCAACATGCTTTACCTTCTCTCTAAGCTTTGGTTTCTTCTGGAATAAATATTCACTCTTGATAATGATATCCTCAGAAAAGGGCTCTTCCAGTCCACATGATCTAGCCGACAAAACCATATTAACTTTGCGACGCTCTTGCTTTCCTGTATTCTCATTTTATATTATCAAGAAATCTCCAACTTCTAAGTCGCTGATAAAATTAGTCTCAGTACCATGCACTGCTTTACCAGATGTAATGAGTTTACCCTGTCCTTGCTAGATTGGCTACTCAATGAACTCTACAAAAATTTCATATAAATAAAATTATCAATACCATCTACTTGCGATTAAGCACGCATCTAAGCTTATTTCTTTTCTTCCTGCTTCTGTTAATCCTTCAAAACCTCTGCTCTTAATTCATCATTACTCATTTCAGCTCTGCGCTTCAGTTTAAATGCTTTGTCTAGTACTTTGGAATTCTTGAGTTTTAACTTTCCACCTATCATTTTATTACTACAAGTTATTATATTTTTTTTTCAAATTTAAATAATAAAGGGAAGAATAGAATAATTATAATAAAAGTAATAATGAGCGTTTAAACAACTGAGCAAAAGAAAGAAGAGTTCCGTAAATATCTTGAAAAGGCAGGAGTTGTCGACCAATTGACAAAGGTACTTGTTGGTCTTTATGAAGAACCAGAAAAGCCATCAAATGCTATTGAGTTCATCAAGAAATGCTTAGGCGCTCCATCTGATACTGACGTCGAACAATTGAAAGCTGATAATGAAGAGCTAAGAAGATAACAACATGAAATGGAAAAGAAAATTGAAGCCCTTTAGAGAGAACTTGAGCACGAAAGAGCTAAATAATGATACTCATCTTAATTCTATAACATATATCATCTTAAATTGCTCTTTAATTAATCAAATGAAGCTTGCATCTCTTATAATGAAGTCAAATAGCTTTTCGTGAGATTTATTCACTCTAAATTTCGTCTATTTCAAATTTCACTTGCAATAGATTCTGTGGGGTTTTGGGGTTTTGGGGTTTTGGGGTTTTGGGG